TGGACTTGTTACATGTAAATATCCTTTAATCTAAACATCTTCGCTGAATAATTAACAAATCAAATCAAACAATAATTTCTTTCACATAATTGCTTAACTTTAGGTTAAAAAACAAAAAAAAGTTCTTCTCTTATTTGTAAAAATCTGGCAAAAATCTCTTCTCCATTTACCACCTCCAGTTGTTATTTTATTTTCACACACGACTTTAAACATTCATTTTACTCCCTATGTGGTAAATTCATCTGGAACCTTTCCTTCAATATATCAGATCTACTCAATGTGTAGGGCTCTCTTGTTTCTGATTATCTATATAAAAAATATTGTTTTTAATTTTATTATGTATTTTCCTTAACCTAATTGTAAATCTGTAATAATCTGTGAGTGTTGGCATGGGTTCTAGTTCTGTCTGAAGTGGTGTGGATTGTGTTTTGGGTTGCATCGTACTCACTCGCGATTACACTGTCTCCCATTTCTTCTTCTCACAGCTGTACTGGCACCAGTTTGACCTTCACCCTCATTGTTGTCTCCAGTCTCTTTCTCGGTCTCTCTCCACACATTGTCCCTCAGCAGCAACACCAGGAAAACAGTTACTTTCAGGACAAGTGCTACAGTCATTCTGGGAGTGTCTCTTATCAAGTCATACTTCCCTTGTTTTTCTGGGCAGTCAGTGGTAGATGACGCCACATCATATTGCCCTCTTCTTGCACTGAAGTAGATTCACCAGGACCAAAGTGTTCAGGTCTTCTCCTCGTTCTTTGTGCCACCCTCCTCAAAGGACGTTGATGTACACCTGGTGCTCTGGCTCGACTGGCCTCCACCTCTTGACTGGGATCAGATTTTGGCACTCCTCCTGCTAGTCGATAGATCTTTGCATCGTAGTTAGCTGCCTCATATATTTAATTCACTAATTTTCAGCTGCTCAAGCGAAAAGCTTAAATGTTTAGCCGCAGTAAAGCATAGCTCTGTAAGTTAGAAATTCATGCAGTGAAAGATTTATCACAGTGATTTTGATTGTGAAAGCTCATTAGCGCAAGTAGCAAAGCATCTTCCTATAGGTTAGTGTTAGTGCAAATTCGCTGATCTGATATTTACTTGAGAGATTAACTTTCTTCCCCAAAATGATGTACCAAATCATGCAGTGACAGATTTATTTTGACTCCAAGATCTTTTGATGGTGTTGCTTCCATCCATCGACTGAACCCGTCATCATTACAAACATGTACCATATCCCTTGGCAGTTTTAATCATGTCCACATTGTCTATGAATAGATTTCTAAAAGCGTCTCTCTGGAACTGAAAAAGTGTCCCGCTACTGTTTTATTGTTCTCTTCAATTCATCTAAAAAACACATATCACAATGACCCAAAAGTTTATCAACTATTGTCAGCATATTCTGAAAATCTCATTTTAATTGTCTCATCATCTCCCCCCTTGCACAGTGTGAATCACTGTAAAAGTCAGATCCTGAGTTCGTTTGTTAATACTACTGGTACAAAAACTAGTTATTTGACTCTAAACCATTTTCTGTGGCCTTATTGGCCTTTGATAGCTTCCTATTACTTTTACACTAGGTGGCACATCTGTGAGGAGTGTATGTGGATTCAGCACAGCTGCATTAAAATTTATAAACAGTATTAAACTAACAGAACAGAACACCCTAGATCTCAATTAGCACTGCAGTTCTCTCAATTAATTTCTGCTTCCCTCCTCAGCTGCTCGCTTTAGAGGATATTTTACTCTATATGACAGTCTCACATCAGCCTCAGGTCCAGTTATACTGGACTCAAGGACAAACCATAATGTTTTCATCCAATCTTATCCTCAGTACATTGTACTATGTGATGGGTCAAAAACTTCTTTCAATAACACCTGGACATTTGGGATTTAAACCTTAATATATATTTTATTATAGCAGTATGACCTAGCTAATAAACCTTTGCATATTCGGTCACGATATTTAATTAAAATTATTAACCATAACTGTCTATATACACACCTTGCGGTGAGCACCAAATTTGAATGTTACTTCTACATAGGTCTTTTCGGTCTATAAGGTCAACAGGGTTAAAATTAAAACTAACAATTAACTTTTTTCCATCATCCACAAAAATCACACTGTAGTAAGCCACCACTTTAACATTGTCTGGGCTGGGGCCCCCCACCACAGCTCCAGCCAGAGGCATCCCTGGTCTGGGCAGTTGTCAAAATGTCCGGTATGATCAGATCCCCAGCAGGCCTTTAGACGTCACACGTCCGTCAGAATTCCACTCTCTCCCCCTGCAGGGATATATCATCTCTATGGAGCAGGGTTCTGTCTGAGGATTAACATTCACAACAGGTGATTAAACAGGTTACTGTCACAGGTTTTACCGCAGTTAGCGTCTGCACGGTCTGCAGTGTCCCCCTTAGAGGTGGCTGTTAGAACTTCCGCTGAATGTTCTTTTCCTGTTCTTTCGGTCTCCGCTCTTCATCTGGCAGCACCCTCCACAACACATCACAATATGCATTGAACTCACTCCCATCAGTCATGGGATTCGTCATCCAACCTTTTTTTGCCTTTTGCAGAAACTCCTCCATCGTCTTAGTTCCCAGCAGTTTAGCCAAGAGTGCTTTCATGTCTGGTGTAGTCAACATTTTCCTACAGTTCATCCTCAAAAACTCGTATCCATCTCCCTGCCCCCTGTTCAGTTTGTGGTAGTCTGGCAATCAGCCCAACAAGGTGTATGGTTTTCCACGGCAATCTCCTTTTCAAAACATATGGGACAAAAATATCAATGATTTTAAATCATTTGGAAATTTAAAAGAGATAAACAAAAAAAAAAATAAGTTTAAAGGCAACCTAAGATAGAAAAATTTTAGTTTTTATTCTATTCTTATTTATTAGTTCAAAAGATCAGAGCATGATTTAAAAAGAGAAAAATAATGCATTTAAAGAGCAAATACACAAGAACAACGTTGAAATCAGGTTAAAAAAGGTCACAGTATGACTTAAAATCTAAAATTGGACTCTAAAGTATAAAAATGACAAAAATCTTTGAACATGTCCAGTACTTTTAGTACACAAATCTCTTGTTTTTGCGTGTTTTACTTTTATCTTTGTGTTTATGGTCTTAGATTCGCTGCTCAAAATCCTTACACACAGTCACATCAGATGTGCCTCCCCTAGGTCATAAAAATTCAAACCCCTTGACTCAATGTTCCCATTTCTTTGTAAGTTTTTGGATATCATTTAAGTGTTCAGGATATTTACACCCTACCAATGCAATTGGAGTTAAACTAATCTTCCCTTTCTGGTCATGGTTTTTGTAAAATTTATTATTCAAATGAGCACACACATTAAAACTTGATCCCCAGCAATTTTGTAAAATTCCCAAAAAATACACAGTATAAAGCTTTTGCCTTAACTGAAGTTCTATAGCAATAGTCAGTATTGATATTAACAGCTTCAATAATATTTAAAAAACACAGTATTTTGGCAAAAACAGCAGATGTATAGAAGCTTAGATTAGATTTGAAGTTTTAGAAGTTTCGCACTTGTGGTACCTCATTTCTTTTTCCCCTTTTTGTATCTTTTATACTTTCACACACATTATTTCAGCAGCTTTAACACAGAAAATTTGTTAAGGAGCATAAGACGTGTTCACAATAAAAAACCATCGTAATATTTAAGCATAAGCTAAAACCTTCATATCAAGAGTGTTCATCATGGTACTAGGAACAGAACCTCTTTCCCAGGAGTATTTAACCTTCTATGTCTCAACTGATAACATGTCCGCAATGAGCACAGTATTCACATAAACAACTATGAAATAAACACAAGTGAGGAAAGCACAGCAATCTTTGAATAACATAACACACACACAGATGCAGAGTCTGGCTGTGAACACTGCCAGAGAACTTAGTTGACACAGAGCAAAACAGACGCACACAAACATCCAATCCACCCACACATTTCACTTTTTCATCACACAATGGTATACCCTTTCACACGTGTTTGAAGTCAAAGTCAGTCACTGGAGTCAGTCAGCAGTCTTTTACTTTAAATTAATTTAAGTGTTTTGTACTTTTTTAACATTCCTACAATTCCTGTGTTGAGGATCAGTCCTCATTTTTTATTCCTGATTCTTGTTTTGATTTTTCCAATTTGTGTGATTTTTCTACAATTGGTCAGGAGATATGGGACGTGCTTGTTCAATTGGGATACCTGAATAGGCTTTTCAGCCTATCCTTATTGACCTGTTTTTCTATCTCCTGCTCATCAAGCCAATCTGTATCTGTAATTTAAGTCCAATTATAACACTGATTTTGTGAGGCCTTTGACATATAAAAGAGATATATATATGTACATTTCAAATATGTACTATTCCGTCATTATACTTATTCGGCCCTCTAGAGTTCTGGATCAGAATTTATGAGGAAATATGCCACTTTTGTTCTCCTTTTGGCTTTTTCTTAAGCCTCAGCGGAACTCCGCGTGACAAATCCTCCTTTCTAGTGGAGTTTTCTAGAAAGAAAATCCACGTATGTATTACTAGATGAATGTGCTCGTCCGTCGGCTACCACCAATTGAGCTCATGAAAGAATGACCTAAAACTCACAGTTCAACAATGGACAGACACACTCGTGCCTGCCGCTCCCCTTGTTATCCCAACAATTACCCAGAACCTTTTATCACCAGGCATTCAGCCTAAAAAACACATCACAACCCGGGCCAGGCTGTCTCCCCAAACTACTGGCCAGTGCTTCTCCGCACCCAGTCTAGCTAGTTTCACATATGTCCGTCTCGCACATATAACAGCGTGAGGCGATCTCACACTTTGAAGGAGACGAAGTGCTTCTGCACCCAGCCTATAGCTTCACATATGACAATCTCACACTTATAGCAGCGTGAGGCGGTCTCACCCTTTGAAGGAGACGAAATGCTTCTGCACCCAGCCTATAGCTTCACATATGGCAATCTCACACATGTAACAGCATGAGGCGATCTCACACTTTAAAGGAGACAAAGTGCTTCTGCACCCAGCCTATAGCTTCCCATATAACAATCTCACACATGTAACAGCCTATAGCTTCACATATAACAATCTCACACATGTAACAGCGTGAGGCAATTTCACACAACCAACTGCAGTTTCTCTTAATTCACCTGATATACACTCACCGGCCACTTTATTAGGTACACCATGCTAGTAACGGGTTGGACCCCCTTTTGCCTTCAGAACTGCCTCAATTCTTCGTGGCATAGATTCAACAAGGTGCTGGAAGCATTCCTCAGAGAGCTTGGTCCATATTGACATGATGGCATCACACAGTTGCCGCAGATTTGTCGGCTGCACTTCCATGATGCGAATCTCCCGTTCCACCACATCCCAAAGATGCTCTATTGGATTGAGATCTGGTGACTGTGGAGGCCATTTGAGTACAGTGAACTCATTGTCATGTTCAAGAAACCAGTCTGAGATGATTCCAGCTTTATGACATGGCGCATTATCCTGCTGAAAGTAGCCATCAGAAGTTGGGTACATTGTGGTCATAAAGGGATGGACATGGTCAGCAACAATACTCAGGTAGGCTGTGGCGTTGCAACGATGCTCAATTGGTACCAAGGGGCCCAAAGAGTGCCAAGAAAATATTCCCCACACCATGACACCACCACCACCAGCCTGAACCGTTGATACAAGGCAGGATGGATCCATGCTTTCATGTTGTTGACGCCAAATTCTGACCCTACCATCCGAATGTCGCAGCAGAAATCGAGACTCATCAGACCAGGCAACGTTTTTCCAATCTTCTATTGTCCAATTTCGATGAGCTTGTGCAAATTGTAGCCTCAGTTTCCTGTTCTTAGCTGAAAGGAGTGGCACCCAGTGTGGTCTTCTGCTGCTGTAGCCCATCTGCCTCAAAGTTCGACGTACTGTGCGTTCAGAGATGCTCTTCTGCCTACTTTGGTTGTAACGGGTGGTTATTTGAGTCACTGTTGCCTTTCTATCAGCTCAAACCAGTCTGGCCATTCTCCTCTGACCTCTGGCATCAACAAGGCATTTCCGCCCACAGAACTGCCGCTCACTGGATATTTTTTCTTTTTCGGACCATTCTCTGTAAACCCTAGAGATGGTTGTGCGTGAAAATCCCAGTAGATCAGCAGTTTCTGAAATACTCAGACCAGCCCTTCTGGCACCAACAACCATGCCACGTTCAAAGTCACTCAAATCACCTTTCTTCCCCATACTGATGCTCGGTTTGAACTGCAGGAGATTGTCTTGACCATTTCTACATGCCTAAATGCACTAAGTTGCCGCCATGTGATTGGCTGATTAGAAATTAAGTGTTAACGAGCAGTTGGACAGGTATACCTAATAAAGTGGCCGGTGAGTGTATATCCAATTTTAATTGGCTTCCTCACAAATTTGGCAGACTTTGATCAGCTGACTGCATGCATGCAGTTTTCTCAGACTGTCTTCATTCCCACTGTCTCCTCTTATTTCTATTCTAGGTTCTTTGATTTGAAGAGGACAGAGAACAGTAGTCCGCACCACCTCACAGGGAAAAGAACTCTCAACCAAATTTTAGGAAATCTCCTACCTTTTTCTTTTTTGTGCGCACAGTGTCCTTATCCCATGTGAAGTTCACAGAACCATGGTCCCTTGTCCCCCGAAACGAATTCTGGCTAAAGCTCGCCAATTATGTTCCTGGCTGGCTCGCCATTATGTTGTAGAAAGTCCAGCATAAACAATGCACAGGAGACAGGATGAGATCTGAAGAACAGCCTGGGGCGTCTTTAATAGTACAGATGTAGAAATCAGTACAGATGACAAACAGAGTCTCGACCAAGACCGAAGGAAGCCTCCCTAGCTTTTCTTCTACTCCCTTTTATCCTGTGTGTGTGTGTGTGTGTGTGTGTGTGTGTGAATTCTCCAGAAGGCCCCTCATGATGTCATGTCTGCCCCACGACACTTTGTTTAGGCTCATCTTGACCCTTGCAGAGACTAAGGGCTCTATTTTGGTGCCGCGCCTGAGACGTGCCGCAAGCGCAGCGTCAGTCAGATCCGCCGCGCTGACAAGGCGTTCCCAAGCACATTTTGGTATTTTGGTGAGCCGCGCAGCCCGGCGTAAGTATCCCCCCTCCCTAACTCAGCTCCTCCCAGCAGCATAAGTCGTAGACGGGGAGGGGAAAGGGCGTGTAGTGGGTTTAACACAGCCGAGACCTGTTTTCACCAATCACATAAGCTCCTCTCCTTGCCTTTAAATCCGCCACAGGCGAGGCGTACTACTATTTTCATGAAGTAGTCAAAGAGATCAAGAGATGTCTTAAGACAGTAATGCCACAAGATGGCGACAGAGGGCAGCTCCTCAACAAGTGTCCTCCACACTCTCTCATATGAGCACAGATGGATTTAGTGTGTGTAATGTTGGACCCAGTGGTAAGACAAACACCCTTTTCCACAAATAAAGACACTCACATAAAGTTGCTCATATTCAAACCTCACGTGACAAAGGTGGGTTGAGCGCACAGATCACAACATAAACTCCAAAAATGGCATTAAAATCGGAACCATCTGTGCGTAAATGACGCATCGCGCTCCGTGGCCTGGCTCTTTCTTTCATAGATGTTGGCATATAAAATAAATTTGGCTCACAAAACTGAATATTATAATATCCGTATGTCGGCTTAAAGTAGATAACGCATCTGAGCACTGAAACAAATCATCTGTTCAGCTGCAGCAGCAGCAAGACGGACAGAGGACACGGAGACGTGCGGCTCATGCCACGAAAACACCAAATTGGCCTTACGCTGGGCTCTGCCAGACGAAAATACAACTGCGCGGGGCTCGCCGCCCTCCGCCGCCTCACCGGCGCGCACGAAAATAGAGCCCTAAATGTTCCACCAGACACATGGTTCAGGCTCCTGCAAGACAGCCTTGCTTACAATCTCAGGGTCATGGGGCTGCAGGAACAGGCCAACCTAGATTAGTTGTGGCTTCTTACTAAAAGATAATTACTCTATTTCTTAACCTAAATGTATGAAGAGATTCCCCTACAACCTCCAATGAAGAAGAAGATGGCGTCTTACTATCAAAGAGGTAAAGGCTAATACTCCCAAATGTTTAGAATTAAACTGTGCATAGTCTTCCGGGACACCAAAGATGGCAGTGTGAGGGGATGAAACCACAAGGATTGCAAGTATTCTGGACATTGTGTCAAAATAGTTCTTCCAGAGGTCATCCAGGAATGGACATGAGTAGAACATATGTGCTAAATAACAAGGTGATAGATGACATTTGTCACAAGTATCTGCAACTGTAGGGTATATCTGCGATAGTTTTGCTTTAGAATAATGGATTCTGAACAGCACCTTAAACTGTGTAAGAGTAAATCTTGCACAAGTTGAACTCGTGTGAAATGTACGTAGGGCAGCGTCCCACCAATCATCATCAAAAGTCAATCCAAGTTCACACTCCCAGGCCTCTCTAATCTTATTATTGGGGTTACCATCAACAGACAGAAGGTCATTGTATATCCTGGATATTTGTGATTTACGAAATGGATCAAATTGGATGAGTTCCTCCCACATTTGCATTGGGGGTTGCTGAGGGAAACTTGGGAAGAGTGATTGGGAACAATGTCTGACCTGAAAATACCTGAAGAGATGGGAGTTGGGGAGCTGAAACCTAGTCGACAGATCAGCAAAGGTGCAAAATGTGTCATCACTATACAGATTTTTAAAGAATTTTAAACCCCTATCCCGCCACATTGAGAAACCTAAATCTGTAAGTGATGGTTTAAACAGATGATTTTTCAGTAGTGGACATAAAGTGGATGGAGAATTAAACTTGTAATGGTTCCTGTATTGGTACCAAATTCTGAGGGTGGATTGAACAACCGGATTCTGCGTGAACTTAGAAGGATTGTTTGGAATAGAGGAGGTAATTAGGGCTGGTAATGAAGACAAAGTACACAATGCTGATTCAAATTCACACCAGAGTGGACTGGCTAATGAATACCAGAATGAAACCTTGTGAATGTGTGCAGCCCAATAATATAATTGAAAATTAGGAAATGACAACCCACCATTAAATTTACACATTTGAAGTATTGATTTACGGATCCTGGGTGTTTTACCACTCCATAGGAATTCGGAGAGTATTTGGTCTATATTCTTAAAGAATTTCTTGGACAGAAAAATGGGAAGACATTGGAACAAAAACAAAAATTTGGGGAGGACGTTCATTTTTACCGTGTTGATTCTTCCAATCAATGTTAAAGGTAAACTTTTCCATCTCTGAAGGTCATCTTTAAGTTTAGAGATTAGGAGGGAGAAATTGGCAGATAAAAGAAATGTGATAGTTCTAGTCACATTCACCCCCAAATATTTAAAGCCAGAAGGGCTAATTTTAAATGGGATTTCAGTTTGTGTTAGCTGCAGTCCCAACTCATTTATAGGATAGCATTCACTCTTGAAAACATTTATTTTGTAACCTGAAAATGGGCCAAACCGTTTAAAGAAAGCTAGGATAAGGGGAATCGATGTACTTGGGTCAGAAATATATAACAATAAATCATCTGCATATAGCGATAATTTGAATTCTATGCCTGACCTTATCACCCCTCTATAAATCTGCGAAGATCTCAAATATATCGATAGCGGTTCGATAGCAATCGCGAATAGTAACGCAGACATTGGGCAGCCCTGGCGATTACCACGTGAAAGTAAAAAGAACTGAGATCCTATGAGATCCTGCCCAATGTCCGCGAACAGTAACGCGGACATTGGGCAGCCCTGGCGATTACCACGTGAAAGTAAAAAGAACTGAGATCCTATATTATTGATACTAATACTCGCTTGTGGTGATGTATAAAGGAGGCGTATCCAGGAAATGAAGACTCTACCTAGTCCAAATCTATGCAGTACCTCAAATAAATAGTTTAATTCCACTCTATCAAACGCTTTTTCGATGTCAGCAGAAATTACTACCTCAGGGGTTTGAAGGGGGGGGTTTAGTTTATATGACATTTAAAAGAGTACGAATATTATAAAACAGCTGACATCCTTTTATGAATCCCGTCTGCTCACCTGAGATGATGGTTGGAAGTATGTTATCCAAGCTTAGGGCTAAAGCTTTGGCTAGTATTTTGGCATCAACATTTATTAAGGAGATTGGTCTATAAGAGGAACATAGGTCCGGATCTTTATCTTTTTTAAGTAATACATTTATGGAGGCCTGATGAAGAGTAGGGGGGAGAGAACCTGATTCTAGCGATTAAACATAAACAGAGTGCAGTAGTGGGGCCAATTTATTCTTGAATTTCTTTAAAAATTCTACCGGGAATCCGTCAAGGCCAGGGGCTTTACCGCTTTGCATGTTGTCGATGGCCAGGATAACTTCTTGTGTAGATAATGGTCGGTCAAAAGTTGTGGCATCCTCAGGGGTTACGTGAGGAAAATCGAGCTCGTCTAGAAAGGAGAACATCTCTGTGGGATCTGATGGGGCCTCAGAGCTATACAACGAAGTGTAGTATGATGCAAAAACTGAGTTAATGGCTATCGGGTCAGTATGCACTTTTCCAGAAGAATCTTTGATTTGAGGGATGATTTTAGAAGCTGCTTGGCGGCGTAGCTGATCAGCTAAGAGCCTGCCTGCCTTGTCTCCGTGTTCATAGTACGTAGCGCGCGATCGTAGCAAAAGACGTTCCGCCTCTGTAGTAGTAATTGGGTCAAATTCAGTTTGTAAGGCTACACGTTTATTTGGTAAGTCAGGAGTGGGGGAAGATGCAATTTGTCGATCTATGTTCTCTATACTTCTGGAAAGGTAGTATTTTTGAATTACGACATTTGTTCTGATTAGCCGAGAATGAAATAATCTGGCCTCGTAAGTAAGCTTTCATAGATTCCCACATAAGCGAATGAGAAATCGGCTCTGTCTCACTTTGACTAAGGGCGACATATTTATCTATTTCGTCCGAAATAAATCGGGTAAAATTATCATCGGATAGGAGCAAGGAGTTGAATCTCCATGGGGATTGGTAACGTGGTAGAGAGGACAGTTGGACGTCTAGTGTTAAAGGAGCATGGTCGGAAATTACAATAGGATGGTATTTGACAGATGTTACTTTCGATATTAAATTGGAGTCGATGAATAGGTAATCAATGCGGGAAAATGAATTATGCATTTTTGAAAAAAATGAGTATTCTCTGGCTTGAGGGTTAAAATATCTCCAAGGGTCAACACACCCGTTCTTAGACATAAATTCAGAGAGGGCTTTAGACATCAGCGATGGGGTCAAATTGCGTGGATTGGAATGATCTAAATGAGGGGTAATAACAAGATTCATATCTCCTCCAAATATCAGAAAAGAGTTGTTTAATGAGGGGAGTCGTTCAAATAGTTCATGAATGTGGGGCAGTCAAAATTGGGGGCATAAACATTAACCAGCAGAACTGGGATATGACTCAATGAGCCGGATACAATTAGATATTTGCCCTCTTTGTCTGAGATGACCTGGGAGGAGTCAAATTGAACCGACCTGTTGACCAGTATAGCAACTCCCCTGGCTTTTGCGCATATGGGTCTCTTGTAGAAAGACCAGATCAGCGTTAAGATGTTTCAGATGGGCCAAGACTCTGGATCTCTTGATTGGGCTTCCCAAACCCTTGATGTTCCAACTGACAAATCGCACGGAAGAATTGTTACCTGAATCAATAGGATTAGTCGCCATCATAACAGTGGATGAAAATTATCCGGAATGAGAGCCCCCTCCTTGCTCGGAAAGAAAGACAGAGAGAGAAAGGAAAGAAGAGGAAAGAAGGATGACAGAAAGAGAAAAAAAACAACAACTAAACAGAACAGACGAACATGAATAAACAGCCCCCCCCCCCCCCACTGCACCTACCCAGACCCTGTTGTAGAACAGCAGAGTACCCAGTGCAAACTCCAAGAGGAGTCATAACCTTGTTCAAACTTACAGTTGTCTTAGATGAAGTCATAACGATCCAAGCTCCCACAAATCTACCACTACCCCACTTTAAATCCAAACTCAAAACACACCTATTCCAAATCGCATATTCACTCTAACTGTCCACTTTCACACTTGTATGTTGTTTTTATTTATTTTAATTATGTTTCTAACTGTGTTTTTATGCCCTGTACAGTGTCCTTGAGTGTTCAGAAAGGTGCTTTTAAATAAAATGTATTATTATTATTATTAAATCTCAACTCCCTTCAAGATAATATGAACTCAACATTAGCACACCAATCTTTTGTATGTCCTTAACTTAAAACATGGTGGCCAACAACAACCAAGGCATTTGAAGAACAGTGTTGTGGTAAATGTTGACTCAAAGTGCAATTCTATGTTCTAAATTTAAACAACACTGGATAACAAAAATTTAGAGAAAAAAGAAATCAAAATAGAAATACCATCTGGGGTAACTGCCGCGGCAAGTCTCTTGATTGGAAAGGTCAAAGTGAAAACATATGGATGTCATTATATTGGTCAATGTCCACAAAGCGTGAAGGTCACTTCAACCTACTTGCCCAGTGACTTTCTGTACATCTCGGCATCCGCCGGCATCTTAAACTCCTTCTGTACATCATTGTGGGATATCTTGAGAGTGGCAGGGAACAACAATCCAAAGCACAGGCCTGGCAGCTTTGGCTTCATTTCAAACAGTTTGCGTTTTACATCCTTGAAAGCTGCTTTGGCCCGTGCCGTCTTGGCTGTGTAGTCTGGAAATACTGAGATGGTCATATTCTGGATCTTGATCCGTTGAAGCATCCTGGCTTGCCTCAATATGTCAACACAGTCCTTATGGTAGTGTAGGCGGACTACTATGGGGCGGGGGGGCTCACTTGGTTTTGGTTTGGATCTCAGAGTGCGATGCCAGCGGTCCAAAACAGGGTCTTTGTCCAGCTTGAAAGCTGTTTTCAATAGTGCAGAAACTGCCTCAGTGGATGCGGCTGCTGGTGAATCTTCCAAAACCCCTATTATTCTTATATTATTGCGTCTTGACCTCAATTCTAGGTCTTCACAGCAATTGTCCAGTTTCTCAAGATCAGCAGCCATTGTCTTCACTTTAGCTTGAAGTTCTGCAATATCATCAGTGCAGGTAGGCAACGCAGGTTCCATCTCCCTCACGGTGTCTGTTAGTGAGCTAACATCCGCCTGAATGTTAACGATGCTGCTTGTTAACTCTGCCTTCATTGCTTGTAATTCTGACTTCATAGATGATAAGTTCTCACCCAAGGCAGCTTGAAGTTCATTTTTGAAGATGGCAGTCATTGAGGATATCAATTCCTGTCGGAAATCTTCAGGGGATGTATCGGCCAGGAACGGCAGTGTATCGCCGACACCCTGTGGCGAAGGTGGGGAGAGCAGCTCACTGTGAGTCGTGGCTT